CTATGTATGTGGTGACTGTGGCAAAGGCTATATCAGGAAGGCTGGTCTCACTGTTCATCAGCGAACTCATACTGGAGAGAAACCCTATGTATGTGATGAATGTGGAAAAGCCTTTACCTGGATGGCTTCTCTCACTGTTCATCAGCAAACTCATACAGGATAGGAACCCTACATATAGTGAATGTGGAAAAGGTTTTATCAGGAAGCAGGACCTCAGTGTTCAGGGAACTCATACTGGAGAGAAGCCCCATGTGTGTAGTGAATGTGGCAAAAGCTTCATTCAGGAAGGAAATCTCAAAACTCATCTACAAATTCACAGGAGAAAACCCCTATGTATGTGGTGAGTGTAGTAAAGCTTTCAGCCAGAAACCACACCTTATAGCACATCAGAAATGTCACACTGAAGCTAAACCCCATGTATGTGGTGAATGTGGAAAGCCTTTTTCAGGAAGAATAAGCTCATTGTTCATCAGCGAACTCACACTGGAGAGAAACCCTATGTATGTGGTGAATGTGACAAAGGCTTCATTCAGAAAGCACATCTCAAAACTCATCTATGAATTCTTTGTGGAGAAAAACCTTAATATGTGGTGAGTGTGGTAAACCTTCCAGCCAGAAGTGATGCCTTACAGCACATCAGAGATTTCACAAAGGAAAGAAGCCCTTTACATGAATTAAATGTGGAAAATCTTAGATGTGGAAGTCAGGTTTCCTTAAATATGAGAACATTTCCAAGAAGAAAACTTTTCATTGGAGTTAGTGTAACAAAGTTTTCAAAACAGAGGAAGAGGTGCTAGAGTTTGGCCTGGGCCAGGCATGGGAACAGACAATTGTGATGTACCATATGGGGATCTATGTTCTGCATTTGCTGTCCCTCTACTGGCATGACCCAACCTTGTGGTGAGAGGACCTTCCAGACTTCCACCGAGTGCATGGATACCTCATTGCTCTTCCAGCTTTCAGTGCCCAAAAGAGAGTTGAACCTGGTGTTTCTGGATCACAGCTATACCAAGCAGTAGAGTTCCCATCTAGATGACAGTTGTACCTGCCCCACCTGCATGCTCTTTGTTACCCACCGGAGACAGCACAGAAGTATCATAAGCTAAGAATAAAGAAAATAGAAGATGTATTGGGAACAATTAATCCAGAGAATGAACGGAACAGCAAACCTCAGCCTCCACAACCCTGAGACCAGAAGAACTAGATGATGCTTAGCTTCCACTGCTAATTACTCTGAAAGGGATCACAAAAGAGGGTCCTGAGTCAAGTGGGAGAACAAAGTGGAACAAAACCCCAAATCATAACATAGATCAGGATTACTGGTCTGATGGAGACTTGGAATCCACAGATTTTGGTCTTTAGCAATGCTTCACTCTTGGACCTGTACTCACTCCTCTGACTCAGCTTTCAGTCCAACAATATATAGGCTCGGAGGGGAAGAATAACATCCAAGAATAACATACACTCCCTGGAAAATCAACCATACACAATCAAAGAGAAGCATTTGCTTATGGATAAAAACTCTTAAAAGCTAGAAGAAACAGGAAAGAAGGATGAATAGTATAAAAACAGAGAGGAGACAGAAGTGGGAAGAAGGCTGGTATATCTTAGGGACTGCAATCAATGTACAAATTGTTGAATGGAAAACCAATTTACTCTGTAAAGTTTCAAATCAGAAAAAAACATTTTAAAAAATTGAAGAGCTCATGTCTCATCAATGATTTCATGTAGGATAGTTACCATGTAGCTGCAATGGATGTGGGTAGCAAACTTTTACCTGTGTTTCTAAGTTTTCTTGACAGAAATACACAAAATTCACTCAAAATGGGAAACGCTCCACAGGAAGTCATGTGACATCACATTCCAGTGATCTCATGCAGAAAGCAAGCTCTGGCAATATAGTGACTTTGCAAATACCCTCTTTGGTTTCTCTCACTGTGTCAGTAAAGTACATTAGGATTTTAACCAATGTAGTTCTGATTGGCTGACCTTTATCCCGAAAGGAGTCATGTGACAGTAGAGGATTTGTACAGCAGAGACACCATGTGAATAAAGGGCATGTGGCAGTGCATATGCATTTAGTGAGTGGCAGTGCCTCTAGTATCCAATTACATTTTCATTTATGTTCCACAAAGCCCATAGGATAAACTGTGATGCTATAATTGAACAGAGGGGCTGAACAAAATGTCTGCCACATTGCATGACTGCAGTGTAAATCCTGCAGGAATTTATATGAATACAGAGACTGGGAAAGCCTCCTGTGTGCATATGTACATTGATACTAAGACCAATATCTGATTTTACATTTGATCTCTCTTTTGACCCATGTTAACTTCATTAATCAGAGAAATACCATGACAATAGAACAGGAATGTGAAAGGCCTCGCTATCATGCAAAATTCTCTGGAAGGTGGATTATTCAGATGCAGTTAAGTTGAAATATAATCTTTTATCTTTTGAGATCCTTTTTCACCCATTTTAAATCTATTATAGTTTTAAATATTCCTCTTATTTTCAATTGAACTTTACCTCTGTTTTAGTTTGTTGTTGTTTTTAAAAATATTTTGCTCTGTCTATGATGTCCATGAAGCCTAATCGTGGTATTGCTGGATCATATGGGATTTCAAGCTCTGGTTGTTTTAAGTAGTGCCACATTGATTTCCACAGTGGCTGTATGTATTTCTAAGTCCACCAGCAATATATATGAATCCCAATCCTTCCATATCCTCTCCAGCATTTGTTGTTTGCTTCTTTGTTATGGGCTGGGGTTGTAGGGATTAAGTGCTATCTCATTATGGTTTGAATTTGCATCTTCCTGAAGGCTAGTGAGCATGAGCATTTTTTATATGTTTGTTAATCATTTGTACTTCATTTTTGGTGAAGTTAATCATTTGCACTTCACTTTTGTTCATATCTTTTCCCCATTTTTTATTTGGTCTCTTGTTATTTTCTTATTGAGTTGTAGAGTTCTGTATATTTTTGTAATTATCCTTTTGTCTGATGTATCATTGATAAAAAAAAAAAATCCCAATCCATGGGCTCTCATTTCACTCTTCTAATGCAGTCTTCTGATGTGCATAAGTAATGTAATTTCATTTATGTCCAAATTGGGGGTCTTTATTCTAGCCAGTGGCCTTTGGGAGGATTCAAGTCTCTCCGAACTTACCCGAAACCAAAAATTATATTAAGGTGGGTTTGTAAGGACACAAACCGCTGCCAGTTTGGCAATCAGGAGGAGTTGAGGATATTACAAATCTCTCAGTGGGTAAGCAGGGAAGGTTGGGGGTTCCACATTCCTCTCAGCAAGCAGTTTACAGAAGCTAAGATAAGTGTAATCTTTTTAACTTTGTGAGGCAGGGTGGAATGGGGTATGGGTCAAAGGGCACATTCTGAGAGCAGGAGGATATTGACATTTGAGTAATAATACACACTGCAAAGGAGCAAAACTGGGCGTGGAGGAGAAAGAGGTTACATACTTTAGTGATGAAAGAGGCCAGAACAGCATTTCAAAAATTCTAAAATGGGGCATGAGTCAAGCTTGGGAGAAATTCTTCCAGGACTGCATTGCAAGCCAAATGGCTGGTGATTCAAACTCACTGAGAATGCTTTGGAAGTCAGGCTTAGTGCTCTCTCTCTTTTTTAAAATCATTTTATTGGGGGCTCATACAACTCATCACAATTCATACATACATCAATTGTATAAAGCACATTTGTACATTCATTGCCCTCATCATTCTCAAAACATTTGCT